GCTGGTTTTGAACTCCTGACCTTGAGCAATCCGCCCGCCTCGGCCTCCCAAGAGCTAGGATTACAGGCGTGAGCCACAGCGCCCGGCCTCCTCTGGGCTCTTATGGCGACACTAAACTCTACGACAGCAAGAATCCTATCTGTCTTGTTCTCCACTCTATCTAGTGCATAGCATGTTCCTGGGGATATTAGGGGCTCAATAATTATTGTTATTTAAGTTAATGAACAAATGTAACCTTTATTGTCAATACCACTCATGTAACACAGGAATGCATTAAACCCACTGGTATGTAGCTGAACTCTTAAACTCAATTATTAATATCCCAGAAATGGCAAACATTATGTAAAATATAGATTTGTATATTGTGCAGCACCTTAAACATGGAAGCCTGCTCCACAGTATTATTGAAATAGGTAGTGTTGAAGAAAATAGAAGATCCTAGACAACAAGGATTAATGTAGAATTCTGGCATATGACCAGAGTTACATAATCTTGTGCTTTTAAGTGAAATATACCAGGCCGGGCGTGTGGCTCCCCTGTAAAAAATCCCTAAACTCTGGAGGCGGGCCGGGCAGATTTGCTCGGGTAGGAGTTCGAAACCAGCCCTGAAGCCAAGAGCAGACCCCATCTCTTATAATAGAAAGAAAATTATTGCCCAACTAATATATTAGGAAAAAATTAGCCGGGCAATGGTGGCACTTGAACTTGTATCCAAGCTACTCGGAGGCTGAGGCAGAGGACTTGCTTGAGCCCAGAGTTGGGTTGCTGTGAGCTTAGGCTGAGTGCCATGGCCACTCACTTGTAGCCTGGGCCAACAAAGTGAGAACTGCTGTCCCTTCCAAAAAAAAAAAAAAAAAAGAATGGGAAAATAAATAAAGTACTGGAAACACCTATTAAAAAAGTATAGATAGGTCCTTCCCCAACTCCATACCATACAAAATACTGTAAACAGATTTAAAATCTTAAATATGAAAAAAGCAAAACTGTAATATTTCCACGAAGAAAAGAGACTCCTTCATTTTACATGGGCCAGGAAAATGAATTAAGATAAGAAATATAA